ATTTGTTTATGTAATTCATTGTTGAAGTGATCTTTCATTGTCTGATTTTGCTGTCTGATGTCTTCCTTGAGACTCCAGATCATCTGAAGCATGTATATCCTGAATTCTTTATCTGACATTCCATCTGCTGCAGCTATTACCTCTTCTAACGTTGAGTTGACCTGCATTGCTTGTGGTCCTTTCTTTCCTTGTCTCTTCATACTGTTCGCGTTCCTTTCTACTTGGTGAAACTGTTGTGCTATTGAATTTTCCCCCTATATATTTATATTGGTCTTGTATAGTTGCAAAGTCTCCCTCGCAGGCACGGGCGGTGGCTCTGCCCCTCCTCCAATTGGGGCAATGTGCCTACCACGCCGGCAGGCCGCTGGGCCTGCTCTGCCGGTCGGTAGCAGGTCCGCCTACCTTGCAGGCGCGGGCGGCGGCTCTGTCCCTCTGCGGGCCGCTAGGCTTGTTCTGTCGGTGGTCGCAGTTCTGCCTACTTTGCAGGCGCAGGCAGCGGCACTGCCCCTCTGCAGGCCTCTGGGGCTGTTCTGCCAGTGGGTCGCAGGTCCGCCTACCTTGCAGACGCGGGGGGCGGGGCGGCTCTACCCTTCCTCAGGCCACTGGGCCTGTTCTGTCTGTCGGTTGCAGGTCTGGCCTGTTCTGATGGTGGTCACAGTTCCGTCTACCTTGCCAGCACAGGGGGAGGGGGCGACACTGCCTCTCAGCAGGCCGCTGCTCCTCTTCTGCCGGTGGGTCGCATGCCCGCCTACCTTGCATGAGTGATTGGAAACTCTGTCCCGCCACGGGCCACTGGGCCTTTTCTGTCGGTCGTCACAGTTCCGCCTACCTGGTAGGCGCGGGGGGTGGGGGGCGGCTCTGCCCCTCAGCAGGCCGCTGGGCCTGCTATGTGGGTGGTCACAGTTCCCTCTACCTTGCTGGCGCAGGGGGAGGGGGCGGCTCTGCCTCTCAGCAGGCCGCTGCTCCTCTTCTGCCGGTGGGTCGCAGGCCCGCCTACCTTGCAGGAGTGATTGGAAGCTCTGTCCCGCCGCAGGCCACTGGGCCTTTTCTGTCGGTGGTCACAGTTCCGCCTACCTGGCAGGCGCGGGGGGTGGGGGGCGGCTCTGCCTCTCAGCAGGCCGGTGCTCCTCAGCAATACTTTTTTTAAAAAATCACCCTTTGCAGAGCATTCTCATTTATTCTACCAGAAATTGCCAAAATTTCACTTTAAATGGAATCTCAGCTGATTTTATTTAGGCAACTGTAGCTATAATTAACCCTGATTGAACAGAGTGCCTATGATGTACTCAATAATCTTCCAGGAATGACATCTCTCTTAGAAAGTGCTATAATTCCTGGATGTCTATTGCGCCTCCATCATGCTCCTGATCCAGTCATCACGTATATCTGATTAAGAAACAAGAACTGTATTAGTGCTCTTCTACAATTCGTTGATACAAAAAGAGCCTATTTCTGACTATTTCACATTTAGTAAGAAAACACCTAAAAGTTAAACAGGATTAATGTTTCACTAAAATTTTTTCAAAGATTTTTTTCCACCTATCATTGATTCATTGACTCAATGAATGAGATTTGTAAAAAATTGGTGAAACTTAAAAGTATCTTATTCCATCATCTTCTTTCCAATTAATGTGTGCCTATTGCATACTGGAGAGGTTTATTTCAAAGATAAATGAGCATGTCAATCACTATTTATTTGTTCCATTTATGATTAATTTATTCATGTAAAGCTTCTAACAATCACATGGGCATTTCCTTTAAAAATCTCTCAACAATATTAAAACTAATTAACAACATACACTCACTTAACAATGATCACTCAGGTTTAAAAAATATAATGCAGCAAAAAGATTCCATTTTAATATCATGATTTTTCTTTGATATTGACAAATTATGCTAGACAAAGCTTATGCTACATACATATGTATATGAATGATATACATGATTTTCTCTTTCAATAAACTAATCTTAAAAATGATGCACACAAACCACCAAATTATGCATTCAACATCTAAAAAGTATTACTGAAAGTAGAACTCCAATAATATGTTCATCTTATCTGAAGTTTCTTTTACCCTTTTGCAATTTCAACCCTTATTTTTAAATATGTTGTTCATATTAAACTATGTTTGGGGTATCAACACATCAAATAATTGATGTAATGTTATATATTTCAGAATAATTTCTGTCTTTGTATTACCTACTTAGTTATCTTTTGTTTCTTATTGGTATAGACCTTTTTTTGTTCTGCCCCTTTCCCTGTTCACTTCTACACAAATTAAAATAATCCCATGATTATAGATTAAGAGGATTTTTCCCACATACATGTAGTAATTTTCTAGGAAGGAATGAAAACTTAATCTCAGTTCTTTATTTTTGAATTTAGAGTCCCAGAAAAAACAAAACCAAAAGGAAGTATATTTTTACTTTGCCCCTGTATAGCCAGTGAGAGTGAAGAATAAATATTCCCTTTTGATTTCATCACCCTACAACTTCAAAGTAAAATATCAACTCAACCTGTGTGACTCTTCTAGAACATTTCAGAAAAGGAGCACACTTAAAGGTTTTGTCCATTTATCTCCCTCTCAAATTGATCTGAGCTGAAATAATGCAAAGTTAAATCCAAGACAGGGACTTAAAAGAAATACCCTTGTCCTTGGATTTCTTGTACACTCTTAAGGCCATAAGTATATGGACTGATTTTGCTCTAAATTTTAAAATTTCAAAATACAAGTAGCTCTTAATTTTTTAAAATAAATTGATACTGTATTTTAATTTTAAACTGACACATAATAATTGTACCCATCTAAAAATCTGAATATTGTTCTGGCATGATTTGAATTACATACATTACTACTAATAATAATATTTTCACATTTTTATGTGATCACAAATAGATGTAAGTCTTACCTTGGACTTACTATTTAATCATAGGCTGTATAACAGAGACCACAACCTTGATAATACAAACTGGACTTGAGAGATAAATATGGATATGATAGTGCAAATTAAGCATGACTATTGGGAGGAAAAACTCCATAAACAATTATGAGCCATCCTCTTAAAAATAAAAATTGGTAGATATTGATTCTCAAACATACATGTACAAGAATAAATAAATCCACCCCTCAAATTTTACATATATCCTACCTAAGATTATATATTTTGAAAATAATACCACTGCTTGTCGTAAGCACTGGGGAGAAGACTGTTAATTTTGAGTAATATGTTAACATACTTCCATAAATACTTCATCATTAAAACTGTAAAGTTAAACCTGAAAATCAATTTTTAACCTTTAGGGCTCCAAGAACTTTAATAAGATCCAAGAAGCAATCTGTAAAAGTGTTCCAACAATTTAATCATATCTCTAGAACTGGTCTTTTATCGGAGAAAAAGAAATTATAACAATACATTAAGAAACCTTCATGTAATTTACTTTAGTTTTCAAAGCACTTTGTATTCCTCATAACACAACCAAGGGTATCTTTAATTTATAGTACATATCCTGTTTTAAAGTCCTGAATGTTTTGTACCCATTGGCTTTAAATATGTTGTCTATTTAAATGTTTTAAAATAGTGAGTCTCTTTATTATAGCAAAGTAGTTAAATTAAGAATTCCTGTACTTTAAGTAAAAGTATATTCAGCTGGATGCAAAATACAAAATATCAATTAAGGTCATACAATTCTCAAAGACTGGACTAAGGTTTATTCTGTTCTTCAATGGTAGTTGGTTAATAATCTTGTCAAAGCTCTCCTTCAGGAAATGTGAACTATTTGGTACATTGCTATAACATTTAATTTGGAAAAATGAAGTTAATACATTTTTATGAACTCTTAAGAGAGACTGCTTTTCTGATATTATGCTGTTTGCTGAGCATGTTTTATTAATCATGAGATTCCAGAATTAGAATAATATGCTATCTAGAAAAATACACTGATCCTCTTCTACTTTATTCTTATTATAGAAAAGTCACAGATTTTGACTTCCTATTAAAATCTCAACTATAATTCCATTTGTTAAAAGTATTAAAACTATCTGTGTAAAGTCATAATAATTACACAACAAAACTTGAA